AAAAAAAAAAAAAAAAACTTACGCAGCGTTTCAAAAGTCTCAATCCTATACTCTATGTTTACTTGCTCTACCTCTCTCCCGCTTTCATTTATCGACTTTGTGTCTAGTGATCCTACCTTCTCTTATCTTATTGTATCTATGTGATAATAAGATTCTAAGTGTGATAAGAGTCTTCTTCGTGCCAGCCGAGTTCGTTTGTGATAGGGGATTTTGGGGGGGTTTTCACGTCCGGGTTGTTTTCGGGCGGCGTAGCTTTGTGCGACGGCCGGTGGTGTTACCACTTGGCTTCCAGTGCCGGAATTATTGAGGTCACGGTCCATTGATCGGTTCTTTGTTGTGACTCATTGTTAGGGATTGACAAAAAGAAGACTGAGCCTGATCAATTTCAACCAACCTTCGTGGCATTCGGTCCTTCGTACGAGAACACAAAAAAATGGTGTGTTCGTTCTTTTTTTATTTCATATTTATGTCCAACGATTTTAATTAATTTATATTGTTTAATTGTTGAAATTTGTCTGTTTATTGTAATTTCTCGATTTCAACTGGTAGCGGGCAACCCGGAACGAGTTCAGGATCGAGAGGTTGTTGTTCGGGGCCAATAGGGAGCTATCTGGGTTCTACGGGGACTTTTCGAGACCTGATGGTTGCTGTCAGAGCCTACCGTGAGCTGCCGGGATGTACCAACAACTATTCGAAACCATTCGGGGCCATCTCGGTCTTGGCAAGACGAGCCAGACAAACACCCAAAAGTTACCCCAACTATTATTTCACTTAATATATCCCTTAAAAAAAATGTGGGAATTATGTAATATTACAAAAATCAAATGACGCGTGTGATTCACCCAGGAAGTTGGCATTAACAAACAAATCCCTTCGTCGGACTGTTAAAGCAGAAAATTTGCTGTGGTACATACGTGGCGCGACAAATAGTACCTCAAGGTACAACCAAATTACGAATATGATGTTTTTTCCGTTTATTCTCTCTCTCTAACAGTGAATTGTATGTTCTCCGGCAGCTGGAGAGTCCGGAGGTCCCCGGGTGGCTCCGCGGCCTGATGGGCGAGAAGTTTTTCAACGCGTGCATACTTCACGAGGGCGCCAAGAAAAACGAAAAGAACGTGTTTTGCTTGGATTGCTGCGAGGGAATTTGCCCCCACTGTGTTCCCGATCATCACTCTCACCGCCTCATGCAGGTCTCTCATTCTTCATAAACTCTGTCTTGTCTTTTTTCTAGCTTCTTTATCTCAATTATCTTTTCTTTTGTTTGTGATTGTTTATGGTGCGTTTCAGATAAGGAGATATGTGTATCAGGACGTTCTCAGGCTTGTGGATGCTGTTAAGCTTATAGACTGTGATCATGTTCAGGTAAAAGCTTTATACAACAAACAACTCAACACTACCAAGTATGTATGTGCAAAATTTAGAGTTGAAATGGGAGTTGATCTCAATTTTGCTTGATTAAAAGCCCTTGTCAAGAAATATCATTATTACTTACCCTTTTTTCATACAAGTCCTTCTTGATTTAACTATTTTCCCTTTGTCGTCGTCCCTGCAGTCTTACACCAGTAACAGTGCAAAAGTAGTATTTTTACATCAGAGGCCTCAAGCCAGACTCCACAGAGCATCAGCCCCCATTTGCATTACCTGTGACAGAAACCTGCAAAAATCATCTCTCTTCTGCTCCATCTCTTGCAAGGTAACCCCTAAAAAATTAATGAAAATAATAATAATAATAATAATAATAATAATAATAATAAAAGAAGGTGAAATCTCCAGAATTTTCAAGACCCCAAATCAAAATTTCGAATTTTAACACGGGCCCATATCATATTTTTCCGTCTTTTTTTCTTCAATTCGGCTTCACAGCTCGAGCACGTGCTCCGAACCAGATCCAAGCTCTCGAAATACCTTCGCGAGTGCAAGCTCCTCGGGCTGCCCGAACCCAACCCGGAAGACGGCCGGATGACGCCCGACTCTGTTCTCGAGCCGGCGGGATCGGCGCGGACGGAGTCCTGTTCGGCCGGCGGCGGCGGGCTGGTCGACTGCCCGGCTCTGATCAGCACGGCGACGACGACGACGACGATGGAGGTGGTGAGGAAGAAAAGGAGCACTCTGCCTGGAAACCGGCCCGCGTGTAAACCGGTGTGCAGACCGGTTTCGGAAACCAACCGGAGGAAGGGATCGCCTCACCGGTCTCCGCTTTACTGACGTGTACTGGATTGGGGCCAGTGGTGGCATTAATGGCGTCGTTGAGGGGCAGAGTAGGTAATTTAGGGCCTAATTGACTAAATCTTTGACCTTGTCAATTATTTTTTTTGTAGAGCGTCTTTCGAAATACCAAATTGTTATATTGGCCCCTGCAAAATGGTCACTTTCTGATTTCAACCTCTCTAGGTTGATTATATATATGTTATTAATTAATTTATTAGTATAAACAAACTTGCCAATGAGTTTTAATTACATTTTTTGCTCCATAAAATGGTTTTAATGATTTTTGGTCCCAATATGAATTATGGTGTGCAATTGTTGTCTGCTTATTTATTTGTTCATCGACTCGGCTTTTGATTGCTTCAATCTTAGTTACATAGTAACTTGTGATTTTCCAGGGTTGATATGAGACATGTAAAATATCCAAATAAAGCAAGCACAACTTTTTCAAGTGGGATTGTTAATGTAATTAAATGTACCATTTTAGTTTCTGAAATATATCTTTAACTCTGTTTAGTGTTTGTTGTGATGCATATGTCCAGCACCTTAAAACAACACTCTTAATTAGTCTTCAAAGGTTTTTGTTGTAGCAAAATATATTATTACTGAGTACCGATCAAAAGATTTGTTCCTCGGGTCGATCTCAAGGGAGGTTAGATAGATATACTTGTGCGATTATTCTAACACAAAAAGAGAAAATAAACCTAAACACTCTAATCAAGATGGTTGTTTTTAATTATCCACTACGATGGAAAACTCAAACAATGCAAGAGTAAAGGGCTTATCCGGGTGTGGACATCCCTTTATCCAATGCCTGAAGTAAGCCTTTCTTTCCCATTCAGGGTCTCCATTCCTAGCAAGCAAGGTGATAGATGCTGTGGATCACTTTCCCGAATTTAGCAGTTTGGTATTTTGTCCTCCCGACAGAAGATGAAATAAGTGAGTGAAAGGAAGAAGACCTCTCAGGAAGGGTTGAAACACAGTATCATCGAGAGCCTTCGTCTCCGTTACTGATGCCGCGGCCCTGAGGAAGTGATATTGAATTTAAAAGCAAAGACGGATATCAAATGATGATAAGAAGCTAAGGAGTCGGGGTTAATGATTCTCAAACCAATGCAAATATCAATCTAAGATCATCCAGTTAAATGACTCGAATAACCTAACGTCTAGAAATTAGTCCTCAATAACTCTTCGTAACAAAAGGGTAACACTGACGGTAAATCACACAAATCACACAACACATAGACAATATGTTTCCGAACGAGCCTATTTCATACGAGCCATGATCAATCAACTCCTCCCCTTTCGGTTCTAAGATCATTCAGTTAAATGCTTGTTGATGGATTTATGTTTCGGGCTTGTTGATGGATTTATGTTTCGGGGAGTCTGTTTGTGCGTGCCCGATTGCAGTCTTCGATTGAAGATCATTGCAAATATTCACGGGACTGGTCATGTGGGGCGTGATCGATCCATTGCCTTGGTTCACCGTTCGTTCTTTTGGCCGTCCTTGCGACGCGACATGACTCGTTATGTCGAACGTTGTCGTGTCTGTCATGTGTCTAAGGGAGTGGCTTCAAATGCCGGATTGTACCGCCCCTTGCCTATTACTTCACAATCGTGGGTCACCATAAGCATGGACTTTGTTCTCGGGCTGTCTCGTACTCAGCGGGGTCACGACTCTATTTTCGTCGTGGTTGACCGTTTTCGAAGATGGTACACTTCATTCCTTGTAAGAGGACGACTGACGCGGTCCACGTCGCACAATTGTTCTTTCGTGAGGTACATCGTTTACATGGTCTTCCCTCATCTATTGTTTCTAACCGGGAAACGAGATTCCTTAGTTTTTTCTAGCGAAGTTTGTGGTGTCTTGCTAATACTTTCTTGGACTTCAGTAGTGCATATCATCCCCAAACGGATGGTCAGACGGAGGCCGTCAACAGGTCCTTCGGTAACTTACTATGCTGTTTGGTCGGCAAAAATTTGAAATGCTGGGATCAACGGCTTAGCCAAGCGGAGTTCGCTCATAATTCGGCTGTTAGTAAGCCACCGGTCTTTTGCCATTTGAAGTGGTTTACGTCGTCTGCCCACGCAGTGCGGCCGAATTATTGGCGTTGTCATCTTCCATGCCGACGGATCGCCGTGCTGATGAGTTGGTGGCCGACTTGCGTCGTGTGCATGAGACGACTCGATCGCATCTCGAGGCGGTCACCGCGGCGTATAAAAGCCGTGTGGATGCTCGGAGGCGGCACATGGAATTTGAGGTTGGGGATTTTGTATGGGCCGTGCTGACAAAGGACATATTCAAGAGTATAATAAGCTCTCGACTCGAAAGATTGGCCCTTTGGAGATCCTTGAGAAGGTAAACCCCAATGCTTATCGCCTACGACTCCCTTCTCATATTCGAACATCCGACGTGTTTAACGTTAAATATTTGGTGCCCTTTCTTGGTGACAATGCGGAGGAAGACGAGCTCGTATCGGATTCGAGGACAATCCTTCTCAACTCGGGGAGGATGATGAAGACAAACGCGCAATAGCCTTTTTGGAGAAACATGATCTAAGCCCGTCACCAAAATAAACTATTTAGTCGTCTTATATTTGTGTCTTTTATTTATTTTCTTTATTTGTTAAGTTGGTAATTATCTATTAGGATATTTGGTCAATAAGCTAGTGGGTTCAAGACTCTGGGAGGGTTAATTATACTTGTAACCTTCTTTTTCATCGGCAGTGAATAATACAGAAACTTTCATTTGCAATCGTTTTATTGATTAAACACAGGTGAAATTAAGACTGACACACTTGTTGAAATCCATGATCAAACTCCCAATCTCTATAATTCAATCCACCATTTTCAACCCAGAATTGAAAGTAATTCTGTAGCACTAATCTTGTTTGGTCATCCACTCCTTTTAATCCCACCTGACAAGCAACCCAGTCCAAGTACTCTAGCTGCAAACAAACCACTCACTCGGAATTAGTCCAAGTTAAAAAACTACTATAATGAGTGCAAAATACACTCGATTCTGTTTAGCTCGACTATAATACATTCAAACTAAGCCTGATAAAAAATATATATATATAGTTATGGATGAGTCGAACATTACATAATGGTTCGAATAACGGAAAAGAACCTGAGAGGCTGTAATATTCTTATGAAAAAGGTTATGAGTGTGGTGTTTAGGTATGCCTTTCTCATCCAAAAACCGGTAATGATCTTCAACCTCAGCCATCATCTCCTCTTCGGATGGTAAATTCACTTTTCCAGACAAAACGTGCGCTATCCACTTTGCTTGCAGATCAACCATCAGAAACACAACACCCTGTGTTAATTTGTAGCCGCCTCACAGCCAACGGTCCAAGTTAATGTCAAAATGAAAGCATATATATTTGGGAAGCATTTAAAAAAGGATCTTTAGAAAGCTAACCGAATTATAAGAAAGTCCTATGAAGGAAAGCTTAGGAGCAAGCTTTGGAGGAAAGACGTGTTTGTAAAGAGGCCCCACACGGTTATCATCCACCGTCACAATTCCCTCTGTTTTCAAGAATGGGAATTCGAATTTGTACCTATCAAAATTTATAGTATATACAC